CAGAAACCAGGTCGTCTGCTGTAAAGTGCTGTACCTCTCAGAAATTGTAGGTGACCGCAGACAGTGCCGCAGACCTCTGATTGGTCAGATCTACATCCGCTCTACACTATGCATATTTCCTGTTTGGTACCTTACCCGCTTGTTTTGTTTGTCCATATAATTCCTTAAGTGGAAAATTTTTATTTCAGCTGGTTTCTTTTGTTAAAAAAAAACTTCTTTAAGACTAAACTTCTTTGGCTTTCCAATGATTAATCGATTAATTAAAAAAAATAATCAACAGGTTAATTGATTTGCAGAACAATCATTAGCTGCAGCCCTACTGTAAATAGTCATTTGGTCGACAGCAAACAAGTAAAGGTTAAACGGCTTTAAAGATCCGCTCAAAGAAAGGAAACGGAGCTGCTGCCAAGGGGCAACATTGAACGTCTTAATGTTTTCTGCCAGGAACGGCTTTCATCTTGAATGTGTGGAGCTCCTGTCTTCTAGCTGTTCTGTCACCAGATTCAGGGCTGTAGATTCCTGCAGCCCCTCCAGACTTTCTCTCTGCTTCAGGGTCCCACTGCTCTGCATGTTTAAGATGCTGATTCAGGACAGATGACTACATTTCCTCCTCAGCAGCCTGCAGGGGCTGAAGACGTCTGTTAGTCACCCATTCGTTTTATTCAGTTGGATGATTTGTTTGACTTGCCGTTGAATCCTAGGAAGGTGATGGATTCAATAAGGATACAGTCAGTTATTGGTTTACAGGTTGACTTGCTGTTTTATTCCCTTCTCCTGTATTACGTCTCTTCACAACTGTCTGTAGTAACCTTTCTGTCTGCTGCACTACAAAAACTATCTAGAAATAAGTCAACATTTCTTTAATTATGTGTATCTACCCTTAAACTGAGCAGGTAAATAAGAAGATCTGCCAGTGGAATGAGTATTTTTACTCTTAAAATAAGATAATTAGCAGAGGTGTCAAGTAAAGAAGTACAAATAGTTTGTTACTGTACTTAAGTACACTTTTTAGGTATCTATACTTTACTCAATTAGTTATTTTTCTTCCTATTTCTGACTTTAAAACAAACGTTACTCGTTACTCTTGGTTTCGGTTTAATGTTTCTAAATATTTATTTCCCGTCATGTGCTCCATCCAATGCAGATCATTGACTCCACCCACATCTAGTGAAAACTAGTGTCATTGGATGAGTCATAGAACGCAAACACTCATTGGTTAGCTAAAGGAAATCATCAGAAGCTAGCAGGTGTTCTTCAAACTGCTAACGTGAATTGTCTATGCCATGCTACAATGTGGGATTCAGAAAAAGATGTTGAAATGTCTGAAAGGTCGGACACAGGCGAGAGCGTATCGGGAGACGGAGACCAACAGACCTCCCTCATCCTTGGCCCTATTTCAGAGAATTTTTAAAAATAGTCGAAAAATTGAGCTTTCAGTTCATATAGCGGCATCTGGCTGTTTTTTTTAAAGGTTACTTTTTACTTTTATACTTTAAGTAGTTTTTGGAGCACAAACTTTTTGACTTTTACTTGATTAAAAAGGTAAAGTTGATACTTTAACTTTTACCAGAGTGTTTTTAAACTGCAGTATCTATACTTCTACTTAAGTAACAAATGAAATAAGACAATGCAGTTGCTTTTTTTCTTATTTTAAATGTAAATTATTTAGTTCCATTGGCAAAGTGGCTCAATTACCTCCTCAATTCAAGAGAAAATGCACTTATTTTAAGAAAAATACTGATCTAATATCATTTTTCCCACTGTGTGTTCCTTGGTCTTCATGCTGCTTAATGCCGTTTTGGGCTAAGAGGAATAAGGGGAGCTAATTCAAATGCTAGCTGTGTTTGGGTGTTCAGATTTCAGCTACCTGGTCAGGTGTGTTTTGACAGAGATATCAGCGGCTGAACCCCAGAGGTTATCTGCCCAAAGATCAGTTATTGCAGCTCAGACAGAAAAGTAAAGGTCTGCACTGACTGTTACATTTCCTTAACCTATAGGAATACAAGACCTCCCCCCAAGCTAGGCTACAACTCCCTGTGTGTATTCTGGATAGCCCAGAATGTTTTTTTGGATTTTAATACGTTCACTGATAAAATGTTGGTTTCTGCTTCTGCTGTCTGGGTTTCCCTGAAGGGGAACTGCTGTCATTTCTTCTTTTTGTGATTGCTTTTTATTTGACATTACTGTGTGAACTTGTACTTGCTGCAAAGCAATGACATTTTTTGTGCTTTTTTTGTCAAAGTGAAAGCTATGATGTAGAGTAAGACATGCTTTTGGAATTAAGGATTAATTGTGATTGGTTAGGTTTAGGGTGCCTTAGGCTGCAGAAAGGGTAGAAAACAAATGGAAGTGCATGCAAAGTCTTCAGTCTGTATTTAAAAGTAAGATTCTTATGCGTGCGTGTGTGTGAGAGATGCTGCTGTAATTTCTGTTGGCTCTCTGTAGGTCATATTGAGCCTAGTCATGAGAGGGCGCAACAGAATAGGGAACAGAATTGATTGTGAGCTTTAAATAAACACTCCCTCCTCTCCTCCAGCTGAGTCCACTAGACATCTATCTACCCCTCACGTCACTCAAACCAGCTGCTTGCATGCACCGCCATGGTCGGTTTGTGTGACAGCAGCCCTGGCAGCATCCATCATTAAGCACCTCATTGCTCTCTTTCTGAACCTGGAATCTGGATCAAGAGATATAATTAATAATTAGTGCAGACCAGCAGCAGCGTTTTTCCTCTAAAGAGGCTCATCTTTCATAACCTGACTCCGCCAGATAGATTTGCTCCGCATATCCATCTGGAAACCTTCCGTTCAAGTAATTTTGGGAAGGGGCGAAAATACCGGTTAGCTGATTGGCCTATGTTGGTGATAGACGGGCCAAATAAACCAATCAGATCAACGAAGCATATGACGTACTAACAGAGAGACGACAAAAACACAACCACAAGCCAGGCTACTTTTGCCGAAACCAGTCGGGAGAAGAGCAAAAACATCTTTTCCTCTGAGAAAAGCCTCCAGAGCAGTGTTTTGCTCTTCTTTCAGTGAAGAAATACTCTGTAATTCCGCTAAAAACTTGCTCGATAGCCACGCTAACGCTAGTTTCATTGGCTGAAGCCGCCATGTTCTTTAGACTGAACTGTCGCGCTTCTCGTTGCGTCACACCTCAACCCGCCTCAAAGCCAACGCTGATTGGACGTTCGTTTGGTGAACGGCTCCAAATTTTCTTTAACGGAGAGTCTCCAGACTGATCTGCGAGTGAAACCTTGAAAGCTCGCAAGATCAGGATGGTCTCACGAGGCTACATCTTTCATAGTTGTTGGTTAAAAACAGTGCACGTTTGTTAATGAGAAATGGGTGGAGCCAGGACTCAAAGTTTAGCTTCTCAGCTTTAAAATTTACATTTCTATAGCTTTACGAAGAAAATTGCAGACACACAAAACCCCTGTGATCGATCCACATTTAGTCCTAAACAAAATCATTTGCTGATCTTTCATAAGCCCGCCTCCTTAGAACAGGAAATGCACTTTTTTTGGCTCGGAAGGTCCTGAATGGAAATTCATAATTCAGTGTAATTCAACACACCAGCAAGGTGCCGCTCAGACCCAACTCATTCCCCTCCTGTAATTCTTCCCCAGCCACCTGAATAAGCCTAAACAAATCTTTGAAATTTAAGATTTTCCTTCCACCAGACGTACACTTTATCTCTTCCACTAGTTCCTGATTAACCGCCTTGCTTATCTAATTTAAAGGGGTCATAGAATGATTCTATAGGGTATCTGGTGCTGGTCCTTAAAGGCACACTATGCAACATTTTCAGTTAATTAATGTGTTCCATAACATTTTGGATGATTAAATGAGTCATTTCAGGTCGAACAAAGGTTTTCTCGGCCGCCCTGGTGGTACTTGCAATTGCAGGAGCACCGACCCGCACCCACAGGCTCAGAAGTCTCGTGCATCGCGAGAGTCAGTCTTGCTTTACGGCGAGAACTTGGCTAACTACAATCTTTGTTATTTAGACACATCCATAACAAATAATGTATGAAAACATGCTAAATTTTCAAACTCGAAAATTGGAACAAAACAGTCACTTACCGCAGTAGACATGGTGATTCGTTGCGTTCGCCTGTCTGCTAAGCTCAAAACAACCGCGCCTGGCTTGACGGAGAAACCAGGAGAACAGCTGAGCATATTAACGACAGTGCACTTTTACTTTCACCCTCTAGGGGGAGCCTCGCTGGAAAATCAAAACCGGTTGCATAGTATACCTTTAAGGTCTCTGAATAGGGTGTGTAACATTGGTTGGGCTGAAAATGGCATATTTGCTGTTCTATGAGCCCTAATGCAGCCTGGTTAGAATGAAACGGCAGGTTTTCTTCCTTTTATGGTTTGATCGTGAATATTTAGATGAGTTGTTCACTGATTGTGTGCTACTTTTCATACCTAAAAAAATGTCAGAGGGAATTTCAAAATCTTCTGGGATTTTGGTCGACTACAGAGCAGCACCTAGTCAAAGCACACCGGGGCAATCGAGCCGAGCCGTCAGCTCCAAGGTTGGTCTGGGAACCCCGGCAAACGGGGGCAGGTCACTTCGTCCCCGGCTGGCTCGCTGCCCCTGTCAGCCAGGGTTTCCCAGACCAGCCCCGGAGCTGATGGCTCGGTTCGAATGCCCGGTCCGGTCCAGCAGACTTCCCACTAGGATTTATTCTAGAACATGGGCTTGTCTTTGCAACTCCATGTCTTCTCAGTCTGCTGATCCAAAGTCTGCTATCAGAACCAGAACCAGAGAGATTGGGTCATTTAGGACAGTACTTCCAATGGCCTTCAGCTAGGCTAAAGCTGAAAGTCACATTGACCAAAGGTGGCTAAAATGACAAAGCACTGCTTAAAGGGAGCAAATATGCAGAAACAAGGAACCAAGGATTCTGTGACAAACACCTTCAGATTTGTTATTATTGAACAGTTCAAGGTGAGTGGACCCATTTCATGCTCTCCCTCCTTTGGCAGGTGTTTGGATCAAGCCCAGCCGAACATCCAGGATGAGGGAAAAAAGGGCAGATTTTGTGGCGGGTTGCCTTGGAGGAAGAGTCATCGTAGCTGGTGGTCTAGGTCAGTATCTCTGGTCATCCTCTGTCTTTTCTATTTACTGACATGTTAAGGTCTGATTGTCCTCCTACCAAAAAGACTAATAGTGTTTCACACCAAATATGAGAGTAGTGACAAAGTCACTACTCTCCCGACATATTGCTACTATATCACGTGGTTGCTAACAGGTTGCTGTCGCTCCTATCACATCGCATCATAAAATAAAAGGAGCTCCTCACTGGTGATTGCCGGTTTCATCTCAGCATGTAAGACCTGAATGTTACAGAGCGAGGAACCAGGCTGCCTGTACCTTATCAGACATCCCAAGCTTTAAAAAACTCAGGGAGTTTCAGGAAATTTCAGGGAGATGCTTATCGAACCCACCAATCTTTTGTTTTTTACTTTAGGATTCAACCTCTGCCATTTCACAAGATGCACAGCTTTGAGTTGTAACTAGGTGACTGTTCGGAGAGTAAACCAAAGCTTATTGGCTTATTTTTCTGAATAAACCAATCAGTGTGCTCTCTGACAACCAGTCGCCTGGAACACTCATTGAACAGAGCATGGCTTTGGACAGATACGCACAGGTTTCACAAGCAACCTCCTCCCAACACATCCCTCTCTCTTGTTGTCTGTGCAGTTGAAGTACACTATATTGCCAAAAGTATTTGCTCACCTGCCTTGACTCACATATGAGCTTAAGTGACATCCCGTTCCTAATCCATAGGGTTCAATATGACGTCGGTCCACCCTTTGCAGCTAGAACAGCTTCAACTCTTCTGGGAAGGCTGTCCACAAGGTTTAGGAGTGTGTTTATGGGAATTTTTGACCATTCTTCCAGAAGCGCATTTGTGAGGTCGCACACTGATGTTGGACGAGAAGGCCTGGCTCTCAGTCTCCGCTCTAATTCATCCCAAAGGTGTTCTATCGGGTTGAGGTCAGGACTCTGTGCAGGCCAGTCAAGTTCATCCACACCAGACTCTGTCATCCATGTCTTTATGGACCTTGCTTTGTGCACTGGTGCACAGTCATGTTGGAAGAGGAAGGGGCCAGCTCCAAACTGTTCCCACAAAGTTGGGAGCATGGAATTGTCCAAAATGTCTTGGTATGCTGAAGCATTCAGAGTTCCTTTCACTGGAACTAAGGGGCCAAGCCCAGCTCCTGAAAAACAACCTCACACCATAATCCCCCCTCCACCAAACTTTACACTTGGCACAATGCAGTCAGACAAGTACCGTTCTCCTGGCAACCGCCAAACCCAGACCCGTCCATCAGATTGCCAGATGGAGAAGCGCGATTCGTCACTCCAGAGAACGCGTCTCCACTGCTCTAGAGTCCAGTGGCGGCGTGCTTTACACCACCGCATCCGACGCTTTGCATTGCACTTGGTGATGTATGGCTTGGATGCAGCTGCTCGACCATGGAAACCCATTCCATGAAGCTCTCTGCGCACTGTTCTTGAGCTAATCTGAAGGCCACATGAAGTTTGGAGGTCTGTAGTGATTGACTCTGCAGAAAGTTGGCGACCTCTTCGCACTATGCGCGTCAGCATCCGCTGACCCCGCTCCGTCAGTTTACGTGGCCTACCACTTCGTGGCTGAGTTGCTGTCGTTCCCAAACACTTCCATTTTCTTATAATACAGCTGACAGTTGACTGTGGAATATTTAGGAGCGAGGAAATTTCACGACTGGATTTGTTGCACAGGTGGCATCCTATCACAGTTCCACGCTGGAATTCACTGAGCTCCTGAGAGCGACCCATTCTTTCACAAATGTTTGTAAAAACAGTCTGCATGCCTAGGTGCTTGAATTTATACACCTGTGGCCATGGAAGTGATTGGAACACCTGATTCCAATAATTTGGATGGGTGAGCAAATACTTTTGGCAATATAGTGTAGTTCTAATCCGCACATGCTGCACAAATTATTGTATTGCCTGCACTCTCTTACTTGCATTAAAACCTTGCATAGTCTAAAATCCGGGATTATTTATCTGACTCGCGGGCATCCGTGAACAACTATCGATATCAGGGAGACTCCAAGGACTTCCTGGAGACTTGGGATGTCTGCATTATGGAAAGCTTAACACCAGTGGCGCTGTCCCTGTGTCGACTAGTTATTCAGAGATGCTCCCAGTTCAGGAAGTCTGGGATTGAGCTGGTGCTGGATCCTGGTCACTTTCTACGGTGCTTCTGTCTGACGAAGACCCACAACTATTTTGAAGCAGCAGTCTGAAGCTCCTGGACTCCTAGATAACACAACTGTCCTGTTCTGGACTTTTTCCCTGACCTGGATTGGTCTCCTGCTGCTCACTGGGGTTGCTTTATCAGGGAGACTCTTGACGGCTTATCCTGCCTCACCCGGAGGATAGACCGAACTCTTAAACCAGGTAAGTGACTTACAGTACACGGATAATCATCTTCTGTCAGATTATCATGGCCACATTCCTGTGTTTCTCCCTCCAGCAGAGTGCCAGTGATGGGTGATGCGCCGCCCTCCGCTGCAGCGTTTGCAGGTCCACTGATCAACAGAAGCCTGTGTTCTGTTCATATACTGTTTTTATATCATTTGTTGTCATTAAACATTCTGAAACTTCCCACTGTCAGCCTCACCTGAATACTGGGTCCATCTGTCCTATGCTATGAGAGCAGGGACATGAACCATGGACAAAAAACTAGGGATAATGATCTGGCTCCGATAGCTAGGCTGAACCATATATAAAGCAGACCGAACAGGTGGATAAGATGAATGATAATTAGAGCGCCGGGGGGGGAATGGCAGGTGAATGAGTTATTAAATCAGCTACCGGGGCTGCGATCATGACATGTACCAGGTTAGGCCGTCCTACATGCTCATCCCCAGCTATCTTATTCAACGCATGCGTACTTTCAGGCATATATCTGTGTAGAGCTACGGTTTCAGACAGTCATTGAAGCTCACCTTTGTCACTGCGGTTCTTTCAAAATGGCCGAGGGACATTAGAGAAAAAGTGTCTAGGAAGGGTATATGAAAAGAAAAGAAATGGCTCACAAGAGGCAGATATATCCTGTAATGTTTTGTCTCTTGTAAAACATGATGGGGTTTGCTGCCACAGTGGTCGGCTGTCGCTACCTGACAGCAGCCATTAATAAAAAAGATGGACCAGGAGAGGAGAGGTTACGTTACCAACGGGGAGCCAAACGTAGCGATCATCTGTGCAAACGCTCAGTTAACCGAGTTCGCTATAAAGTCCACTACACTGGAAAAACGCTCCAGATATAACTAGAAATTTCTTAAATTAAATGTATTTACCCTTAATTTGAGTAGGTAAATGAGATAGTTTGCCAATCGAATTAGTATTTTTACTTTTAAAATAAGATAATTAGATAATATACACTTGAAATAAGACAATGCAATTGTGTTTTCTTATTTTAAGTTTAAATTGCCTTGTTCTATTGGCAAAATGTGTCTTTTACCTCATCAATCCAAGCACAAATGCACTTATTTAAAGAAAAAATTACTTTTCTAGATTTCCATTTTTCCAAGTGTATAAAGTCCCTATATAGGGATTGATGGATTTAGGGGTTAGTGTATGCTTGCACGCATGGAGAAGGCAGGTCTTTTAAAACAGCGGTCCCCAACCTTTTTTGCGGCACGGACCGGTTATATGTCAGACAATATTTTCACGGACCAACCTTTAAAGTGTGGGGGGTAAATATGATCAAATAAAATGATCCGACTGGCATAAAATCAAAAAAGAACAGCATAAAAATAAAAGTGACCATTATGTTGAATTAGTGGGAACCCTGAGCTTGTTTCTCCAAAACAAGCCGGTCCCATCTAGGTGTAACTGGATACAATGACACGAAGTGAGCTCCTGATGTCCAGTCTGCTCCGTAGCTTTGTTTTGGTCGCTCTAACTGCAGGAAATAGGATGCGTCAAGAGGCACAGATGCGCCAACTGATGTAATTGGGAGAGAATACCGCAATTTTTTTTTATATTTCTCAAAATAAAACATCACTTAGACTCTGATCGTTGATAAATTATATATATTTTTTTTTCTGTGTGGCCCGGTACCAAATGGCCCACGGACCGGTACCTGACTGTTTTAAAAAAACTTGCGAAATTCCTGCTCAACACCTTTAAACTAGTTAGTAGCAGCTTGGTTAGTTTATTTAAACAGATAGAGGCAGTAGCAGCTCAGGCTAACTGGGGAACTTGTGTACTTTGTTTAGTCAAAGGATGTTGACAGTTGACGGTAAACTTTACAGCTTTAAGGACGCAAAAAATAAAGACATAATTAGCACAGGTTTTGCAGCTTTAGATTAAAACATTGCACTTTTTCAATATAAATATGTGCATACTCTTTTTTTGGGGGGGGAGCGGATCCAAATCTTTATTGCAATAATGCAGTTACATTTTTCGCGGACACTGTTTAAAAGTAGTAATGAAATAAAGACATCAGTATTTAGAACTCTCAACAAATTCTTGTAGACGGAAAAAGATTACCTCAAAAACCTAAGTTAAAGTTATTTATAATGCAACTGAATATCAGTTTTGCTGTGGTAACTTATTGTTTTTTGTATGGTTTTTGTTTATTTTTTTGCTGGTGTGTAAGTGGGTTGGCTCCGTAATGGTATTTAGAGAGAAAGCAAAGAACAAAGGAATGGAAAAAACATTAATCTGTGGCTGGATGTTAGAAAGGGGCGACAGACAAAAGGACAATTGTGTTAAAGTAGAGAATTAGGATAAAAGAAGAATAATTGCAGGAAATGAAAGAGAAGGCGGCTGGCTGAGATGGGTTGGAAAATCGCAAAGTAAGAGAGGAGTTAAAGATGATGCAGCAATACAATGAAGGTTTAAACCATAACAAAAAGCAAGATGTGATGCAGCGAAGAACACGGAGGAGAAAGGTGAAAGGAATGAGAACTGATGGTTGAAATGAAATGACGTCTGTGGGTGGAGAATCAAAGTGAAATAGGAAATTCTTTGTTCATCCTGTAACAAGGTGTTTCTGAGGAGGGGGGGGTGGATCTTCATAGGA